ATATAACAAAACTGGCATAGCTGTTAAAAATTCATACTAATCATGACGGTGTCTGAGCAAATATGATCATGCTGAAGTCCATCGCGGTTCACTTATCATGGCGATCTCCGGTCATCACAGTAAAGCAAGCCTCAGAAACTACATCGGCCGCCCTTTGAGCGAAAAAATAAGAGCTCGTTCTGATATCCTTTCGGATGTGTTGAGTGGAAAGTCACTTCAGTCACTGCAGCCGAGTTTTGCGGCGCTGTCATCCCGAGCGATCTTCATGTTCCGGTGAATTCGGCTGTCGTTCATTTAAAAAACACTCTCCTTGAACAGTTTGTTTTCTACCTTGTCATGTGGAAAAACTCGCGTATTTTTATGAGCCATAATTCGGTTAAATTTCACTGAACATTTCACTTCAAGATTCTGTATTAAAAACTTCAGGCAAAAGCGTTAAATTCGACCTGCCGAACTATTTTAGTTTGTAAACTATCGCAGATTGTGAACTTTGATGGTTTTTGAACTTTGATGGTTTGACACTTTTGACAGCTTTTGTCTTGTACAGCCAATCAGATTATTTGAACTATTCTAACAGGGATTCTGATTGGCTTATTTTAGCGTGCTCTATGAGAGTATAGAGCATGCTGACGACACTGTTGTTCGCTTTGGAAATAAAGTTTGTTTTGAAAATTGAAAGTAATGCATGGGGAATTTAACGGATTCTTTATTATAAAACAAATAGAGAAGCCTTGACTATGCTCTGTTCTGTTATAAAGCACTTAGGAAGCGGCTAGAGCACTCAAGAAGTGGGGAGAAACACTCGACTACGTCTCGTGTTTCTCCCTACACTTCTTTCGTGCTCTAGCCACTTCCTGCGTGCTTTATAACAGAACAGAGCACAGTCAAGGCTTCTCTATTTGTTAAATCGAGGTTGCAAAAATTCATTTACGGAAAAAGAGGCTTAAATCCAAACTCCTTAGAAACTATGTATTGAACTTATTAAATGAGCCTCAAAATTTGGATAACTTAAAATTTCTGAAACTTCTCAATAACATTTCAAACAAAGAGTTAAATAAAGCTCATAAAACAACTCACTTAACCCCGTCAAAACAGACAACAAAAGTATGTGAAAAATGACCACGTCAGTTCTCCAATGTCGAAGTTAGAGTTCTTTGACGTGATTGGCTGATTTGTGAAATCACGCGAGCTGCACGTGAATACAAAAATACAAAGGGGGGAGGGAAAGAGAAAAATTGCAATTTGAAATTTAAAAACGAAAGAAATATTTCCCGTACGGCCCTCCCACTCAGTCGATAAGTATTTTATCATTTAACAGCTATGTGTTAAACATTTCGAAAATTTGTTTTTGAGGTTGCTTTTCTTTCACTCTCAAATAATTTACGATAAAGAACACATTACGAGAAGTCTCAGTAAACCTGTCCAAAAATCCGCAAAACGAGTCTTGTGCTTGTGATTGTTTTTATCTAGTTTTGACCAGCCTGGTGATTCTTACATTATTTTAATTTGTTTTTTTTTTTTGGTAGGATCGACATTCTAAAGGTTACTCAGTTCCAGAGGTGGATATCCAACAGAATTATACATTGATTTCACTTGAAGAGAGAAACGGAAAAACTGTTATGAGTTTCAAAAGAATGTTTGACACGTGTGATCCACAGGACAACAAGATTGAGGTTCGCAGTATATAACATTAGAATTATTTCGTTTTTACTCATTTGCCTATTCATTAGCTATTTTTTTCTTGTCATTTATGTAATGAAGGGGGAAATCTTTTGAAAAAAAGAAGGAATTGCATATGGATTGAGCTTTTGCATACCAATTTCATGATCAATGACCCACTTTATTAAATGCGTGGTCTACGATCTCATATCAAATATGAAAGCGTTCAACTCTAAGCCAAAAAGTGTCTTGAGGAAAATAAATATAGACCATGGTAATACCATTTTCCTCAGTCTATTGTACAGTTCTTTAGAATAATCGAAAGAACTGTCATCGATTCGTCTAAGTAAGTAAAAACGAATCTTCACAGAAGAAACTGGTTAGCTAACATTCTCTCTACGATCCAGGCTGGAACTACAAAAGTGATTTATGCCTACCACATGGATGACCCAACCTCAGAAGAAGAAATAGCCCCGCACAAGATAGGACACAAGGGATCAAGGAGTCTGTTGTTGCTAAACAGCCTTGAAACAATACCGACCTTACCACCAGATACTGAGACATTCGATATACGACATAACGAGGTAAGAACTGTAAACGCTAGTATACGCCCCCAGTCCAGAGCTATACGTTTCTAGAAGCTTATAAACTCCACTCCCTTAGAAATGATATGTAGCAAAAGAAAAACACAAATTTTATGAATGAGTGAACGCAGAGGAAAGATGGGACAACCGTTGGCAAAAATGAAGGTTACTTGAATGAGGAATAAATGAATAAATGAATGAATAAATTAAATAGTTAATTAATTAATAGAAGAACAAATTAATCAAATAATTAATTAATTAATAGAAGAGTAAATAAATGAATGAATGAATAAATGAGTGAATGAATTAATGAAAAGAAAATATAAATAAGTGAATAAATGAATGAATTAGTAAATAGAAGAATAAATAAATTAATAATGAATGAATAAATTGATAAATAAATAAATGAATGAGTGAATAAATAAATGAAAACATTAATAGATGAATGAATGAATAAACTAATAGATTAATAAATGAACAAATAAATGAATGAATAAATTAATAAATTAATAAATAAATGAATGGATGGATGGATGGGTAAATGGAACGATGAATGTAGGAGTGCATGGATTAAAGATGGATCGATCGATAAATTAACACTGTAGGAACAAAGGACGTGCAAAGAAATAAGCTTATGCCTTATTTGCTAAAGTCAAGTGATCAGTTTGTGCTGGCTGTGATGACTCAGTTTCTTTTAATTTTCACTTTGATATATTATCTTCATTTCAGACCGCTGTTCCAACTGAACGAACGAGCTACATATGCAGAGCATTTGAGATTCCAAAAGTTAACGAAACGCATCACATTGTTATGGTAAGATATGTTGAACTCAAATAACACACTTAGCATTCGCTTCACGGGAAAATTGGCTATACAGTATTATTGTTATTTGAAATGTGGTTATAGACATTTTTTGTTTTCTGCCTACCTCTTGTTCTGACTTTCTCTTACCGTCTTCGTTTCCTTTTTGTTATTTATCTCCCACCTTTCCGAAGATTTATTTTGTCCGGCTTTCTTTTTCTCATTGCTCTAGTTCACGTTCTTGTCAATTACCAAACATATTCCATTTCTGTCAATACCATACTATCTATCGAACAATATTCGATTGTACTACGAGACCATACCAAAGTTCGATCAACGTGCAAATTCCTAGCCATGTTCAATGACACATGACTACTGCACGAGTAATGTCAAACCACTGCGTTGCTCCAGTCAGATAAATACAGAAACATATAACAATTTCGACAAAATAGGTACAGTATACGTTTGCTGTACGAAAACGAGTGAAATATTGGGACGAACTGGTGAAGGTGGGGGCGATCTTGTTTTCCTCCAGGGGGCGAACTTACAATGAGACGAAACTTCCATGTACCCTTTTTTTTTCTGCATTCTCTACATCCTCTTTCTTTTTCATAATCATCTCCTGCCTTTCCAGTAAAATTTTAATTTTTCCATTTGCATCTAGGTTGAGCCAGTAATTCAAGCGGGTCATGAGGGCATCGTACATCACATGTTATTGTACGAGTGTAGCGATCACTACCCAACACAACTCTTGAATTATACCGGCGCGTGTTATAGCTCTAACATGCCTCCCCCTGGGAGAGAGTGCGCAGGAGTATCAACAATTGCTGCATGGGCTATTGGTGGAAAGGTGAGTTAAGTGATGATTTTTTTGAAAGCGCAGCTAAATGTGTGTACTGAAGACATCAAGCATTCTCTTAGAAGGAAAGAAGAGAATGGATTCAAAATTTCAAGCATAGGGAATGGGTATTTTTAGCTCCAGGGATCTTAAATCCAAATCTTAAATCAGGCCAATAAAAGGAGTTTTTCCAGTATTATTTGTGAAAAAAGATTCAGGTCATTAACCATCTATTCGACTCAATAAGTTTTAATTGCATCTTTCAGGAATTTTATTATCCCGAGAATGCTGGATTTCCGATAGGAAAAGCTGACAGCCCTAAAGTCGTCATGTTAGAAATACATTATGACAATCCTGAGAAAAAAGAAGGTAATCATATGATGATAAAATAACACCAAAGTGCCCCATCAAACCAGAGTTTAACCCAGTTTCTAATCCTTCTGAGCGAGAACCCAGTCTTCCTCAACTTACCTTCTCCCCCTCCCTCCCCCCCCCTCGCTCTCATTCCCCCTCGGCCTAAGATTTTTATTTAATATTCCTGGGTGTGGAGAGAGGCGAGATAAGTTTCTTGTCCAAGAATACAACGCAGTGACCCAGTCAGGTCTTAATTCAAGTCCTCTCGACCCGGAGTTCAGCACGCTATTCGTTGGGCCACTGCGCCTGGCAAAAAGTTTCAAACAGAGTAGAAAATACTAATCATGCTAAATCCACCGTGCACTCTCTACAAATTTTTAACTGTTAATGCTGCGATGCCGGTTATACAGGCTTCACGAACATTCATCTTTCACAGCGAAATAAGGAACATAAATTTCATCGGATTTATGTTAAAAAAGGGTTGAAGCCATAACTTGAAGATGATATTTGTGGCTCCGAAACGCGGTGTTACAAAATAAGAACTGAATTGATCGATTTCTGATTGGTTCAATTAAGGACTGAATGACAGCTCTGGCCTAAGGTTCTATCACACAAAGCAACTCAGACAGTATGATGCAGGGGTGCTGATGGTTGGAGAAGGGGTTTCAAGGTCCATGATTATCCCACCAAAACAGAATGCTTGGCAGTCGGATGGTTTCTGCCTCAAAGAGTGCCTGAAGGAGGTGGGTGAATTTTATCGGCCGTTTTTTAAGGAATTTCGAAAAAATCGGTGAAGTTGTTTTTCAAATAAGTGTCAAAAGTAATCATATATTACATGATTCTTCGTCTCTGTGCTTTGCATTGGACAAAATCTGGTTATTTTCTAACCAAATTGGACTACAGTTACAGCACGGTCGCTCACATTTCCGATTATTAATCTAGATAACTTGTATTTAAGTTAATACTTTCCTTTTTTTATCGATCGATATGGCTTCTCCTTGGTTTTAGCGTTTACAGTACTTAATCGAATCGTGCTGTTTTTCTAACAAATTTAATTTACTTTCGTTAAAGAATTCATTTCATGCGACATTTTCCTAACGTTGTGTATTACCCTTAGGGAATGAAAGACTCCAAACTGCCAAAAGGAGGAATAAATGTGTTTGCTGTTTTGTTGCATACGCATCTGACGGGTAATCTTGTAAACTGAGCCTTTACACATAACGTTTCCTCATTAAAGTAATTTAGATCATTACAGACCACAACAAGGAGCCTTTTTCTTTGTCATTCAGTTCGCTCCAAGTAAATGAATCTTATATCAGTTAGAAAAATTGCTGGGGTGTTTTGGTCCTCATTAGAGTAATTTTTTTACTTGCACGGTAATCTACTTTGAATTGCTGGGATTTCTAGACAGCCACCTTGTGTTCAATGCATTTCGAACTGATTCTGAAACTCGCGCGTGAAGTTTATAGCCTCTGTGTATGAAATAAATGCCAGGAAACTCAAATGTTGATGAAGGGCAAAGAATTCAAAGTTGTCTTTTTACCTCCGGGTTTGGTATTTTACACTTTCTAAAGGAGGTACACTTGTCTTTTTTCACGCGGCTTCCTGTTGTAATTCTTCCTTCCTCCTTTTTCATGCCTTTGCTGTTTAGGCCGCAAAACCTGGGTTCGTCACGTGAGAGGTGATGTGGAGTTACGAGAAATAGCTCGAGATGATCATTATGATTTTAACTTTCAGGTATTGTTATAGTTTGATATTGGATTCCTTTCTCTCTCTTTTTAGAGGTGTCCTTGCTTTAAAACATCGATTCTTTTCGCTTTTTTCGTTTCGGTTCGTTTCTTTTCCTTCTTTTTTGTCCGCAAGATTTCTATTCAACAGCCCCAAACTAGTCAATTATTTGTACATAATAAACTGTATCTAAAAAAAAATAATATCCAAACGTGGTTTTATCTCGTTATTATAGTCGTAACAAAGAAAATATGAATTTCTTATGAAAATTTATTTTCATTTTGGTTGATTTATTTCCTTTTAATCATTATCACAGGAGTATCACTCATTGAGGAAGGAGGTTCACATTGCTTCGGTAAGAATATAAGGACCTGCATCTCACCAGCTGTTTTTATTGCCGAGGGAATCACTAAAGTAAATTTACAATGATAAATCAGCTGAGAGGGGAACACTATACTCCACGGAGTACTCGAAAATGGGCTTTGTGCTTCAAGAGAGGCTAATTTTGAAATTACGAGTACGTTTATCCTTGAGTTGTACCAAAGAAAGTCAACAGATTGTGAAATAAATTTTAAAAAATTACAAAAGACGCGGAATTAGGAAAGATTGATGGCATTCTACGATTCTAATATCTCTTCTTTAAAGCTGGGTTTGTCACTGAATTTTTGCTGCATTTATTATCTCGCTTTCCAAGCTTCCCAAATCACTAATTTGGTTGCTTGCCACGGAAACCATTACCTATTTAATTTTCATCCGTTTTCGTTTCAAGTGGAAGGCAAAAACCTTTTCACTCCAAGTATTTTCTCAATTTTGACCGGTTGACAATGACTGACTGGTAGATGAATCTGATTGGATAGTATTACTTGCTATTTTTAAAATCGAAATTTCTTTTAGTTGCTTAAGAACTGTGCGATTTCGCTTGCTTGAGAAAAAGCAACTTGAAATGGGAAATTGAATTGCATCGATACCATGTATTACACCATTAAAACAGATTTTCCATTTATTTTCCTGACAGGGAGATTCGTTGATTAATGTTTGCATTTATAACACTGAGGACCGACAGACAAAAACAGTGGTGAGTGATCATAAGCTGGAGGAACACAAAGAAAGCGCCCATACAAAGGACTTCAGTAACTAAAGTTACTGAAGTTACCGCTGACGAATGAAGAGCTTTGGGCAATTGTCATTTCATAGAGACAGCATCTCAGTTAATACGAACAGACCAGGTGTAACTAAATATCAGCTGCATGGATTCCTGCGAAGTGTCTCGTCTACCCAGCGTAGATTTTCTGAGAAGCTAATTTTAAAAACGGAAATTCTCAAAAATAAAAAGTGTGGATTTTAATTATTTTAACACATGCTAAGCAATTTTTGGATCATTATCGTGCGACTTAAATGTCCTTAGTATCGAGGCCTCCACAATAAGAATTTAACACGTTCAAATGGTTGTCAGCCATGAAACCGAGAGGTGTGGGCATCACCATATTTGTTCCATTTTGGGAAACTTGTACTGAAAATGGATTTTAAATGCGAAACGCGTAATTCTATGTGGCTCAGTGGTAGAGCGCTAGGGCGTGGAATCTGAAGGTCAGAGGTTGTATTTCTTGTAAGGATTCGGACTTTTTTTTCTTTGTGACCCTTGTGACATGACGGAAAAAAAACATATTCCTTCATTTTGTATTATGTACACGAACGTTCATCAATGTTAACTTCCAAATTGTGATCTTTGTGTTTGACAACAGGGTGGACTTTCTACAACTGATGAAATGTGCTTGTCATTTCTGATGTATTATCCCAAAGTTAACCTCACAAAGTGTGTGTCCGTGGACTACAGCGCTTACCAATCATGGGAAACGGCGTATAACAAGTAAATTGTTCAAAAGAGACGTTAAGCCTTTCTCCTGGAAAATTTACATGTTTAAGTTTGTGACTTGCATTTGCACTTTTGATTTGAGAGCAGCCAGGTGTGCAACATGTTAGGATTTAAAATTGTCATATGGGCAATTTTTTTTTCATGCAGAGGTGGCGATCAAGCACAACTCAGCTTCTGGACAAACGCAGTCAACAATGGCTTGAGGGATGCTTACCAGGGTTCCAAGAAGGCGTTTGCAATCTGCCAAGCGCGCGCGCATCTACCAATACAAGTAAGTTTAATTACCTTTGGAGGATTTCTACATATCATGATCATTGCCATCGTTACCATTTCATTTTGAAGTGAGCTCAGTAAATATTTAAACAGTTGTTTCTTTGCTTCTTCAAACTGTCAGGCGCACAAAGGATGGGAATCAGTTACGTGTCACCCACTAGTTTTTTTATTCTCGAGGAAACACTGGAAGATCACTGTAGCCATTTACATATTTTAATCACGTTGGCTCACAATTTATTGAATAGATTCTGAGGACATTTTAAAAGTACATGAGACGTACAGTCTCGCATTTCTTTAAAACATAAATTTTCACAAGGAATGGGCATTTTTGAAACTGCGATTTATAAGATGACTAGGTTCATAATGATAATAATCATGGTCAAGAGTATGAAATATATACGCTAACCGTGGAATGTTTTGCGTTTTGATTTTCCCAAAGGCTCGCGTGCAAATACCGAGAAAAAAAGTGGCCCGTGAAATATTCCACAGTGTACCACTCGAAAGCGTGATATAATTAGAATATATGACATCGTTCACTGCACTGCTCCGTGACCGCATTGCATTGTACTATCCTGTTTTCGTTTTACAGGGCGTTGACAGGGAACAACATTCAAAGCCAATAATCAATAGTCCCTATAAACCAGAAGTGGTTTGCCCTTCAGCACGACCGCCATCAACAAGACCGACCACTTCGAAAAACGTTGCCATAGACAACAGAGGTGCTACAAGTTACCTACTGCTTCTCTCTACATACATATACCTGGCAGCCTTTGCTGAACTCTAGATCTCTTGGTACTTTGGCAGAAAAAACTTTGTTACCCGAATTCGAGTAACATATCGCATAAAGCCAAATCAAAACGAGATGACTGTGTTTGACAGCTTTAAATGATATATACGTAGTGTGCGTTAATTAGTTCGGAACTGAACTGGTCAACATTTAACGTCGGGGAGGAGGGGGGAGGAGAGGGAGGGAGAGGATTCTGGTTGTGTCGCAAAAAAATTAACTGATCCGCTAAAAGGTTCTGTAACATTTATAATCCCTCTTATTGGCAGTTAATATTGTCAGTCAATTATACCCCCCACCCCCTTCGCACTATGTCGGAAACGACTTATCCCCAAAGAATCCTCCCTCCCGCCCCCTCCCCCTGAGTGATTAAAAGTGACTAGTTCCTTTCAAGTGATAAATAGCAGCGTTCAGCATTTAGCATTTAGCATTCAGCATTCAGTATTCAGCATTCAGCATTCAGCATTCAGCATTCAGCATTTAACACTTAGCACTTAGCACTTAGCATTTAGCATTTAGCATTCAGCATTTAGTTTTCAGTCTTCGGCGTTTAGCATTTAGCATTCAGCATTCAGCATTCAGCATTCAACATTCAGCATTTAGCATTTAGCATTTAGCATTCAGCATTCAGCATTCAGCATTTAGCATTTAGCACTTACTATTCAGCATTTAGAATTCAGCATTTAGAATTCAGCATTTAGCATTCAGCATTCAGCATTCAGCATTCAGCATTCAGCATTCAGCATTCAGCATTCAGCATTCAGCATTCAGCATTCAACATTCAACATTCAACATTCAGCATTTAGCATTTAGCATTTAGCATTCAGCATTCATTTTTGATAACTGCTACAAGTAAAATTTATACTTTTTGCTATATATAACATTACGTTTATTACCATTCCGTCTATCTTGTTGTCCCTGCCGTTTGTATAAGTATTTTTCAGTAATCAAGCATCATGCACTTCTGCAGAATGAGGTGGAGCTGAAGGGTAGACTTCTTCAGGCGTTCCACTCTCTCAGACCACGCAAAATGAACTGCAGACACAAGCCTGCTTAGTAGCCATGTAACCCATTCCAGATCCCGAATGGTCATCTTTACACATATTCAGACAAGGTGGCGATTACTACTCCGTTTTTTCTTGTGGTGCAAATTAATTTACAGTTTAGCTCTTATGAGTAACAAACTCCCTTGCCAGAGTTGCACTTAGTCACAATGAAATTTTTTAAAGTTCGGTTTGTCTTCTTATCTTATGGTTTTCCTTTTTGTTTGAGCCATTTTGTTTTGTAGGAAGGGTGGTGGAGGGGGGAGGGGAGGGGGGAGGGGGGGAGGGAGAACGGAAGGATGCTACTCGAGAACCTGTGTCTGTCCTCATGCTTCATGACGTGTTTTTTTTTCTACTGTCTACTTCTCGTGTTTCCTAATCATGTAATCATTCAGAAAACGAGATTTGATATAAACCAAAGAGATAAAACAGCAAGTCTTTTCCATTTGCTTCATTTCTTTGAATAACCTAACTATTCCGTTATATAAATAAATTCTTCATACAATGTCTAATTTTAACTGCAGCTCCTCGACGAAAATCGTCAATGTTCTCTAACTCACATCGGTCTTCAAAGTTCATTAGCTTTGACTTGTTTCGCGCATTCTTTAACGCTTTTTCTTTCCATATATCTCCGGTTCTGAAACCAGTTTCTAATTTGAAGTTCTGTCATTTCCAGTCCTCTCGCCAACAGCGTGCGCTCGTCTCGGGTTAGATATTTTTGGTGGGAAAACAATTTTTCGAGATGTTGGAGCTGATGTTGAGTGAAATGGCTCCGGTGTCTTCGCTTCCTTTTGGGGGTCAGGTCCTCGCCGACGTCCATCTTAAATGGTTTGGGATTTTCATTGCCATTTCCGTCTGTTTTGGCGTCTGAAGGTAAAGAGGAACAATGTAAGTCATATTTGACCTATTTGGTAAATAAACCCGTTCAAACGGCTGGTAAGTCGCTGACACTATCTGCGGCTGAGATATTGTCCTAGAATTGAATATTTGGCCGAGAACAAAGCCTCGAGAGCAAATGTGAAATCGGCATTATCAGTCGCCATGCCAGCAGGCCAGGAGGGGTTTATTAAATTTGAAACCCTCTTGTTAATTTTCGCATCACGCGTTAACTTATTTCCCGAGCAGCGGCTGACGATCGAGTTTACTGTTGCATAAAACCTCTAGAACACAGGGAACACAATAAAATCCGTTTTACTTCATTTTCGAGAGGAATTTGAATGTGGAACCCGGCCGCCTTCAATAATAAGCTTTTCTTGTTTTTTTTTGTTTTTTGTTTTTGTTTTTTTGCCTTCTGTCTTAACAAAGTGGTGTAGAAACGATATTTTTTCTACAACTAGGGGAACGGTAGACAAACAGTAAGCTTTGAACCGAAACCCTCATCCAGTGACCCTGTAAACGAGTTAGTCAGACAATGTAATTTAACGCTTATGCAAATTATGTTTCAGAGAAGTAAGAGGCGTTACGCTTCATTACTATGCAGGTATAGAATTATCACTACCTGTAGTGATCAAAAAAGCAAGAGGACTCGAGAAAATTATTACCTTCTTTATGTTGAAGTGAAGAATCGTCCTCGAAACCCGAAATATCTATGTCATTGGCGGGATTCTGAGTCACTATATTCTGTTCATTTCCCTCGTTAAGGCGTAAACATCGTGCATCCAATTTATAAATAACGGGCAAATATCTAACAATCATTGGTCTGTAATAATGAACTCCATGCAATTGGTAAGATGCACTGTCCAAACGCTTCGTAAAAGTTGACCTAGGTGGCATTAGTTTCACTCTGTTATTCCTCACCCCGCGGGAGAAGTCGTCTCGTAGAATATTCTCGATGGAGAAGGAAAGATGTTCCTTTTTGTGACGGAAATCCATTGAATCGAGTTACAGGAGATGGTATGCAGTACCTCAGAGCTTTGATGCTCTTATGGAGAGTCAGGAACCCAAAGAGTTTAAATACATCCATATTTCTTCAGCGTGGGCTATTTTGGGAATAAAAATCACTGAGTAAAACTTTCATTAAGGAATGTAACGCACGCATGTCGCATGATGACCTAAATGCCGTCACAACCCACTCAGTGACGTGGGGGAAAACGTCCTTCCCTACAATCGCAACTTTACATTTAAGGTTATTTAACGCAAACGCGTCATAAAACATATACTACGTGCATAAACCAGGAAACTTTGCTAATTCTTGAGATGATAAATCTTCTACTAGGAGGAAAACCTGTATGAAAAAAAATTCTACAGGTTTCGCGTTGTGTTTACAAGAGTGCCACTGTCGTCACAACTCAGTGAGGATTGATGATTACATTTGGCACGCCTTTCCAGTCCGTAAATAGAATGACTTTTAAGATGCAAAACTCATTTACGTTTAATGACGGAATGAAATGGGGCTTGGTGAGGACATGCAAGGTTATTTTACTCATAATAAGGGGTTCGAGAATTGTATATTATATCGCTTTGCTTATCAGCATGGGCTCATGGAAATTCAGCAGTGAAAGAGAGTTTATGGAATGACGGCCTTTCCGCACTAGCAGACAAAACTGGAATTGTCCCGACAAAATCAAAAGACAAAGTTTTGTTTCATCTGTTGCGTTCGCATTAAAAATTTCAAAGCCGTCAGATTCCGTCCGCGCCTGATTTGTTCATAAAACCGACTAGCATAGTTTTACCGCTTGTGATTCCACCTCCAATTTCCAGGATTTATCCTAGGTCGTCTTAAAATTTTATAATTACAAAAGACAATTTTTGCCTCTCTAGTAAACTGATTTCAGTTCAATTACACGCTGGTCGCCGAAGCTTTTGCTTCAAATGATCTACTAGTTTATCACGGTTTTGTTTATTTGAATGGTTTTTGTCCAGTTCCTACCCGGGACAAATTTTTTCAGGGGTGCGTTTTAAGATCTGTCCGCCACGGCCACATTTCCACATGTAAAATGTTTGTTATGACAGGAGATTTGTCTGAATAAACAACTTTTTCGCTGGTGCGGAAAAGCCTTAAGGCCCTGCTTTTTTAAGACCTTGACGTCACTTTCTATTTTGTGTTCCAAGTGCCTTTGTTTTGCAAAATCGTTTCAGTTCTTGCCGCCAAAACCTGTCTTTCTTCGATTCCCCTTCGATTTGACTGTAAAGAGCACTGCGAGTCGATGCCTAAGTTGAAAAGCGTACTCTCGCGTGATTGAAAGCATTTCAATTTTACTCGGCTCTATCAGTTAACCCTCCTAGTCACGACACAACGTTACTGTGATTACGAAACGCTTCAGCGACGCCGCAAAGGAAGGCGCTGTGAATTAAACCCATAGCGCCATAGCTAAGGATTACGACTGATATGCCCGTCTTTTAAATGGTAAAAGAAACAATATCAAGGAAAAAAACGATGGCATTCTATAATTTTGTTTCTTCAATGCGTTTCGATACTATTTTGGCTCAGTTTAGTCTCCCTTTGGCTCCAAGTTTTCGTTTCGACTCCATCAGAGTTCAGCGTGATTCCCTTCAACACAGCTAAAGACACCTCCAGTGGCAAAAATTACAGACAAAATCGATCGCATTCTACAATTTTATCAACTGAATGCGTTTTAATACCCTTTTTTTTTGCTCATAGAGCCGCAGTTGGGCTCCCAATTTTCGTTTTAAATCCGTTGGAACGCTGCGTGATTCCATCGACACGGCTAATGGTATATTCAGTAGCTAAAATTACAGACAAAATACCACAACCTGATCATTAATCTACATTATTTTCCACAATTAACTGAGAAAAACGATAAATAAGCAGAGCACTTATGCTCATATAAACGGATACATCCTGCAAATTTGCGGTTTCCTTGACCATGCCATGCCTCATCAGTTGTTTATTTTTCACGCCCGGAAGAGGGTGGACAGTGATCAGTTTCATGGTCAACTTACGTCACACAAAATTGACTCCGTCAGTGGTACTCATCTGAAAAAGGGTAATAATATACAACCAGTTTTACAATAACGCTATTAAAGAAAAATATGAAAAAAGAAAAAAATCCATGCAAATTACATGCTTTCAAATGTGACTCAGGTTGAAGGCCGTAAATTAGATAACTCATTGGGTTAATTACGTCACCTTCGTTAAATAAAGAATATTGTATTGTATTTTATTGTATTTTTGATGGAAAATAATTAGTCATCTCTCCCTCCCTACGTTTCTTAAAATGAAGAAAGCAGGAAATTTGGGTTTGCCCAATGACTTCCCATTTGGCTTCCTTCCTTCTCAAATTTGGTTTTGTTTTTTTTAATATATTGTTTTTTTTAATTTTTATTTGAAAAGGTTAATGCAACTCATTGCCTTTTGTCGTGTTTGGTAAACTGCAGCCTCACCTACATTTTCTCTCCCGGTTCCCTTTATGAACCAACAAGACCTTATCATCCCACGCCCCAGTGAGTCAGACAACTGCGTCATTACACAATAATCGTTTCCTTCGTGCGAACGACTATTAGCTTAAACAACGACATACCTATCGTAAGACAAGCTTTTTTCGCACAAAGATATTTTTGATTAGTAACGACACAATGTAAATATTTTCAGTTACACTGAATTTAAATCACATTTTACGAAGACCTTATTTGGAAAGCTGCACTCGTCTCTCAAGCTCTAAGAAAGGAGATAGCTACTTGAGCTAATCAAAGGCTGAACCCGGCGTGAATGACTGTTGAAGATCGTGGTATGTTTTGTTTTATGAAAGCCTCAGTTTATTAACCAACTGATTTTCTTGTTTGTTTGTTCTGTTTTTCCTTTCTTTGCCAATAAACTAGCCTACTACTTGTCAGTCCTTGGATCTACTCAGAGTACTCCGTGATAGAGTGACACACTCGGCTGCCCCTCGTATGCCACTTTTTTGTTCTTACAATAGAACAGAGGCACGGCAACATGGATTCTATTTGCTAATTAGAATATACTTGTGATTGCTTTAAAAGCCAATGATACCATAATCGGTTATTATAAGAAACAGAATTGAGCCGTCATTCCCGCCTAAGTCCTCCCAAATTGATGCGCCATAATTAATAAGATGCATGCACCACCCAGACTCTCAAAACATGACATTTCCCAAATTGGCTTGACTGTCACGGAAAAAATCACCACCCAAGGAGACACTGGTCATATAAATAGATTGCTATTAAACATAAGCAGGGAGGCGTGTTAAAGACTACTGGACTGCTCAATCGTTTAAGCACAACCCCATGGCCTCGAGAAAAGATGGGAGTTCAGATCCATGAAAAGTATCTGCTACGATAGAAAATATGGAGCACCTTGCAATTGTGAAAAAGTGATACGTTGTCGCTTTTTTCACCTTCTCATTCCATGTTTCCATTTATCTCTTACGCGATGCCTTCTATGGGCTGTATTAAATTATATAACTATAACTGGCCCGTCAAAATCTATATTTTGGCCCGCGAATCAAATGCCCGTCAAAGTGATGACAACATGGAATCAATTTGTTCATTAGATGATGATAAGAATTGAGCAAGCATTTTGCTTATGGTCTGTGGGAGGATTAAAGCATTGATTATGTCATCGATAACGACATTTTTCTTTTTCTCACACAAAACAAAATTTTTTGTCCTCACTACAGTTAAACATCGTGGCAACGTGGAATCTGACAACTTCCAGAATTTTCAACGCAATGCTACGCAATTTTCTGGCCGTGATGTCTAGGAAACACAGATTAAAACACGGTGATCCTATTGCGTGGGTTGCCTAAACACAAAAAATTCCAGCTCTTTCGCTTCTAAATAGCAGGGTTTAGTATTCCTATTAATAAAAGTTTCGTCTCGAAATGTTTCTTTTTTATTTTTGCCTTCCTTTTGGTTATAGTTTTCGGTTAAAAAGCGGTTATTTGGTAAACTCGGCAAATGTGTTTAGAGTTAAGAGCCGCAACTCTTAAACATCTTTCGCGCTCTCTAAACTTGCCGCATGCTTCAAATCTCCATGCAAGTATATGAATATATATCTACGAATAGATAAAGCAGGCTGACTCGAAGCCCGCCCCTGTTCCACCAGCAACGAATGTTAAGTCGCAAGCTTATAACGTCGCCTACTCGCTCATTTCCTTCGGCCGTTGTTTACCTGCGTCGCTTCGTACATTATTGGTTGTAATTCGGTGGAATCTCTGTGCAAATATATTCTTTTCCATTGAAAATTGCCAAATAAACACAATTTCTATCAGAATGTTGGGCAATATTTCCGTATTTCCTCTCGCACCCGCGAACGGAAGGATAAAACTGATAAAAACCACGAACGTCCAGAAGAGTGCAGCTAGTATAACCTCTTCTGTGTAAAAAATAGGTCATACCTGAACTCGAAACCAAAAGGAACGAATTGGATGCCATCAAGGTCAAGGACGAGAACCAAATGACTGGGATGCGGTATTTGGCCTTTTTATGCATCTAGTGACAAAACAGTAGGCCAATAATAGTTGTCCCTCAGAAACGAGATTTTAATGTAGTTTCTTTTAAGGGTATCAATTTGCTTTTTCTTTGTTATCTGTGGCATAGGCGCCAGAAATAAATGGTTGGATTAATAGTTTTCGACGCAAGAAACAAGACTCTCTTTTACTGTATGGCAGTAACAAAGCAATATTTCTAGAAATTCATAACAATGGCAACGTGTCTGGTATGAAGTTGGTTTACCTAACATGGAAGCGGTTTTAACTAAAAGAGAAACGCGAGTAAAAAAACTTTCAACAACAGGTGCATGAGTAATAAGGGAAGTTTATCATATGACCCATAAGGCTCCAGGCGTGCATTCCCATATCATTTCGATTGACTGTCGTTCAATCACAACCAAAGTGATTACAATAGCCAATCAGAGAAGAGCAAAAGAGTACAACGAGCCAATGAGAATTCACAAGAAATAACAAATGAGACAAGCAAACTGCTTTTAACGCGGGAAAAAGGGTTTTTGTTTTGAATCTGGTTGCCAGCGAAATCGAGAAGACTGCTCTGGACCAATCACACGACGAACTAAAGCAAAATCAAAGCAATTCCGTATTATTTTCGACTTTCAATTGAAAACTATTCCAAAAGTCAATTTTTCTAAGGACGAAATTAAAAAGATCTCAAGTGTGAAAATCTGGCATGCCCACAACATTATGTACAAGCGACGCGGGATTGACAAGAGATTTCTCCAGAGGAACATCAATGTCAAAAGTATGACGTAACGGGCCTCGTCCTGATGTCTTCCGCGCATTGCGTGCTGGGATTGGTAGTTCAGAATGGTGAGCTGGAAGTGGTTCCGTGAAGAAATATGGATGCAATAAGGCCTGAAACGAAATGCAACAATAAATTGAAGTGAAACTAAACAAACGGAAGAGTTTAATTTGTACCTATTGACATCAGGTATTCCTTTTAAAAGCTTTTTGTGCTTCCGCACGAGTAGCCAGTTTACATCATCAACCCAGTTAAAAAATCAAATTATGTTAGGGGTCACTTTTAAAACTTAAGCCTGCAAATTTGAAAGATCTACCAAAGAGTAAGTGGACACATCAACTGACCTCTTTTGCGGAAATTCTCTCTTTAGAGTGATACACTAAGAAGCGTTTCAGCAAATCTATCGCCTGAAGACAAACAAAATACATTACTAACTTGTACACGGCTTCCAAGAGTCATGTTTTGTCGATATTCTGTGTAAAGTAAACTTAAAGTTTGAACACAGATGCGGCAAATTAACGGCTTACGCGACACACATACAAAAAAAAAACAGCGACGATATTCAGACGAGAACATACAACAGAAGATAACTGCTACTGAAGGGTGTACTGCTATGGGCCAAGCACGATACACGCATGGGATACGCACGGCACACGCACAACATACACAAGGAGCACGCACCTCTGGTGAAGCATCAGGAACGATATTCTCTAGAGGTATTGGCGGCATTTCAGGAAAAACGATTTTGTTATAATCTGGTAGTTCTGTCATTCCCTGTTTCAAGCAGAAAGAATTACCACTGAGGTCAAAATTGTGTTTATACAAAACGTAAAACAAAATATGCACGAAAATTTTATTTATTTGTAATAAAATACAGCGACATCATTCAGCTTCTTTAAAGAATCAAATAATCACGCACAAATGAAACCTCAATCGTACATAACAAGATGAAATACCAACGAGATTATGGACTACTTTATTCATAATTTTATGAGGGTGCAGCAGCCATTTTCTGTTATTAAATGAGTAAATTAGCGATCGTAAACATAGTAGGGACCTTAAGCAGTCAGAAGTTGATCAAAAATTGAACTTTTATTTTGGTTAAATTCGCGAATGGCTGGCGCCACATCTCAACTTCTGCTTAACGCGCATGTGGGTAGCATTGAGCTTCAGACGGAAACTTCGATAATTCTGCTGTCACGGTATCCGTTCTCAGACCACGCAAATTCCGATGATTTGAATTTGAGGTTTTGCAGAGGAAGGCTTAGAAATGAACAAAGTTTTAAAACGCACGTAGTGAGCATTTGTTCTGTTTATTGGATCTTTTGTTTTTACGCGTTCTCATTGTGGTTGCCGCCGTGGTTTGCTTTAAATTCCTAACTAAGTGATTTTAAATATATGCAACGCCTAAAGCTGTGAAATCTAACACGTTTCTGTTACCTGGCCTTGGCTGGGTGTTCCCAGTACTCGAAGTACACAGTAAAGCTGTGTAATATCACTTTCACCCTAAACAATAATCGGCAAAAGAAAGAAACGTTATAGACAATTTTTCTCCTCTATTTTGATCAGCTTTTTCACCTTATTTATCCTCAAATTTTTCTCATGTTTTTTTTACGACAAGAAACTGACGATAGCCCACCGACCAGGCAGAAAGATTAGTGAAAGGAAGGAAGATGTTTTATGAGGCTTGATACAAAAAAAAACTCAGTTGTGATGATTTCAAGCGGTCGTACGAAAAGTTGTTCAATTGTTCCTTCGCCAGTTTTCAATTTTCTATCAAAAATTCCACTTGGACGTCAAAGCAGACAAAATTACCCTTATCCAAGTAGTGAAGGCTTCACTATTCATATCAAATTCATGTCTGATCTCGGAGTAAAGCAGTAAAGAATAACAACCACAACTAAGACTCCATACGTTCACTCTCACTATGACCAAATAGGTAAAGTTTCAAAATATACAAAGGAAAAGAGAAAAATTCCGAAGAAATCATGGTAAGAATAATCGGAAACAATAATAAGGACAATAATAAGAACTAATAATAGCAACTGATGGGCAAAAGATAGAACGAGGATAAAGATAACTTACGGAGCCTCAAAAAATCTCGTATACATATTTCATGATAACACAACCGTGACGTGATTTCATTCATTTCTCTTCTGTTTTCTGCTTATCAGGAGCTAGCAAATCTTTTCGATCATTATTTGCCTTTTTGTTCCCATTTCAGTTTTCAAACTTTTTCCACCATGCAACGAATTAACTTCATACAAAAGGAAGTCTAGCCTGATCCAGGTCTGGAGTTCAGTTATTAAAACGAAGCACGTTAGTAAACAGCGCAATAGCAGAAGTGGAGTGAAAAAACGAGAGGTTTGGGTCGAGTCGCGTCGCGTCGCGCACAGAACGCGGTCAGACCTCTCTCGTTTTTTCACTCCCCCGCTTCTGACGCGACGTTTACTATTTCGTTTCGTTTTAACCCTTTACGTGTAACTCCCAATATCTAGTTGTTAATTCTCCCCTCCAACTACAACACATTTCCTTGTAAATTAGTTCCAAGAATTTAGTATTAGATCAAGATAACAACTTCTACCTGATAAGTTTGAATATTCTCATTACCTGTTTGCTGGATAATGAATATATATTTTAGGGGGAAGTTACATGTTAATCACTATTGGGAGTTAAAGGGTTAATAACTGAACGCCTGCAATAGGCTAAATGACGTCATGCCATATACTTACTGGAAAAAGTGGAGAATTGTTGAGGAGCTCTCCAAAAATACAACCAACTGCCCTGTAAGTACAAAATAAACAAACACAGTGTAAATAAAACACATTACCTCACACAAAAGGGGTTGGTAAAACACCCTATAGTTTCCTGCGCTTTTACAACCCAGTCCCCAAACGAGGTAGTCTGATAGTTAGTGTGATGGATCCCCAGAGGTAGGCTCACACACTGGTGCCTGCTGGGTCATTGTGCTGTGTTCTTAGGCAAGTTACTTCACTTTCATGGCACCCTTCTCCATCCAGGAGTACACAGGGATATTATGACACCCTCAGGAAAACCTGACATGAAGCTGAGCTAGTAACCTGCAATGGATGTGCATCCCACCCAAGGGGTGAAGGGGGGGGGGAAGGGGGTTGGGGATGGGGGAGGCAATATGCAGCAGTGTCTACCTCTAGGTTGTTAACTCACTTTGCTCCACTATGCAGTCGCCACTGGTCACAAGGGATGCAATCCTGTACAGCACCTACTCACTTAATGAATTACATTGTAGCATTCAAAATTTGATAAAATGGTTTTAATACCAGAGATCAACTCCTTCATCATATTTCCTTGCTCCATACAGCAGTTCAGGGGCTCTGTACCATCTGTTTGTGACAAAAAAAGAGAAGGAAAGTCTCTATAATAACAGCTGCTATTGGACACAAAAAATACTAGGTTCCACATGATAATAACTCCAACCTCAAACCTTTGGATTTGGCAATCTATGTGATGGCCATCATCAAGCTACATAGAGTCTGTTGGGGGCCGTAGTAATAAGCTTCTTGCTTACTACCAGGTTCAGCTAAGTCAGAGCATTTTGTGTCTAATCCTAGTTGTTATTTCAACCATATACATATATTTTAGAGAAGTGATTAAATAAACAAATTATTCAAAAGCTTTATTGCTTAAATCAAACCTTGTAGCCACTTGATGACTGTATTGTCTGTTGCCATCATTGGAAAATACCCTAGCAAGACCAAAGTCTGCTATCTTAAGGTGTCCAGTAGAACTGATGAGCAAGTTTGCAGGCTTCAAATCCTACAAAGAAAGAAGTATCACAGGGGTTACAGTAGCAGCCCAGTAGTGGGTAGATCTTCATGCTAGTAATGTGCTGGCAACCAGCTGGTAGTCATTACACAAATATCATTGTACAGTCCTCATATACGTGCATTTCTCATCAAATTGGTCAACTTGTGGGAACAGCACAGACACATACATTTGAATTGTCATTAAAATGCAGGAAAATGCAACTGTAAGAGACTAAACCTTCAAATTTTCCCATTGTTCATTGTTCATGATATAATATTCCTTTTCTCACAGGAAAACTTGAATAGCTTCCATCACTCACCATGTGCAACTAATGGTGGGCCTTAGTATGTAGATCTGAGCCATAAAGCTGTTGTTTCTCATTGCTGATTGTAAATGCTTTTCAGGTGTCAACTCTTTTTACACTCATGTGTATCTCAATAGTAACACATTCCTGTACATACTTTATCCATTACAGAGTTCTCAAAGCAAAAAAATACACCTTTTAACAACATAAACATGTAGCTCTTGATCTAGGCCTGAAAAAAGAATTTATTACATACAGTACATTTTAGTCTACTAGCAGATGGTTACAGTAAATGTTCCACAAAATTTAGCCCCATCTCCTCATCAGGTAGAAGTTTTTATCTTGATCTAACACAAAATTCTTTAAAATAATTGATATAGAAATGAATAGCAGCTCAAGAGGAGAATTAACAATTAGATCTTGGGAATTGAGGAGTTAAGGCTGAGCCAAGAAGGTGCACAATTTGTACATGTAGGCCCACAAGCTCATTGCTACCACAGTTTATCTAGCTAACCATAGCATGACGTGACCATGAGCAGCATGTGATTACATTGCTATTTCCTAAGTTAGTCCATTCTAATTTGCTGTTACCCATGGATTCGTACTCATAAGTGGAAAGTAACACTTTGAGAATAGCATCTTAAGCGTCTCATGTACTTACCCAAAAAACACTACTTAATAAACTAGCCTTAGGAAAATAAATATAACATATAGTATCTCTGCTACAAAACCTCAGTCAGGGGTCTGGCCAAAGGATTCTACCTCTAATTTCCAGGATTTATCCTAGTAGGTAGTTTTAAAATTTTATAATTACCGAGTTTTGCAACAAAAGACAATTATTGCCTTTCTAGTAAACTGACTTCAGTTCAATTACATGGTGGTCATGGCTTTTATTACAAATTATAGACTAGTTTATCATGTTTTGGTTATTTGAATAGTATTATATTTTTAAAGATCTGTCTGCATCAGCCAAATTTGTCATGTTGCACAAACCATCCACACTTGTAAAATGTTGGTGATGATGGGAGATATGTCTGAATAAACAGCCTTTCCCACTGGTGCAGAAAGGCCCCAAGGCTCTGATTTTTTAAGACCTTGATGTCACTTTCTATTATGAGCTCCAAATGCCTTGTTTTGCAAAATTGTTTTCTTGCATGATTGAAAAGCATCTTAATTTCACTGGGCTCTGTCAGTTCCCTCCTAGTCACAACACAGTGTTACTGTGATTGAAAAATGGTTTAGAGACCCCACAAAGGAAGTTGCTGTGAATTAAACCCATAGTGCCATAGCTAAGGATTACAATTGACATGCCAGTCTTTTATAGGGCAAAAAACAAGATAAAAGAAAAATTGATTGCCTTCTGCAATTTTATCACTTCAATCCATTTTGATACTTTTTTGGCTCAGTTTAGTTTCAATTGGCTCTTCATTTAGATTCCATCAGAACTCAGCGTGATTCCTTCAACACAGCTAGAGGCACTTCCAGTGGCAAAAATTACAGACAAAATTCATTGCAGTCTACAATTTTATCAATTCAATGTGTTATGATACTTTTTTTTTGCTCATATAGCCACCGTTGGTGTAGGCTCCCAATATTTGTTTAAACTCCATCAGAACACTGTGTGTCTCCATCAACACGGCTGATGGTATATTCAGTGGTTAAAATTACAGACAAAATAACATAACCTGATCATTTAATCTGCATTATTTTATTGAATTAATCCTCCTTAAACTACAGTATACTTACTCTGAAGCGAGTGTTTTTTTGGGACAAAAATATTTTTGGTCAACAAAGATATAACACAGATATTTTACAGCAAACTAACCTTACTTCTCAAACAATTTAATTGGAAAGCTGCTTTCATCTTTCAAGCTTTGAGGGAAAAAATAGTTATTCAAGCTTGCAACAGACCAAAGATTAACGTAAGCCACATCTGATAAGACTTAAACCATTTATAGCACTATTTCTCACAAAAAGGCTTCTTAACCAAATCCAATGCAAACAATTGTTCCAGACAAAGGTATGTTTGTTCTGATCAAAACTCATTTTGTTGATCTTTGAAACCCAGCTTCTTTCACTACAGAGAAATGCTTATCTTAAGATGTATCTGCTGTGGTTCAAATTTTTTCTTTAGTTTGAATTTTTTTGAAACTGGTTCAAATTTTTCCAACTTGTGAATCTCTGCTATGCGTGGCACTAACTGGAAAAATGATGAAGTAAACAAAAACACTGAAGCAGTGACAATGAAAAAGTTGCTGAGGAGCTAGAGTTTTGAATGACATATCAGTTTCTTTACATGCATATGTCACATTCATTGAAAAAAAGTTTAAGGGCACAGATGTAACACAACCTTAATTATATTCTTTTTGTCAAGCATGAACAGGCAAATTAAAAGAAGTGAGTAATTTTTAGACAAGAAGTAGGTAGCCATTAGTATAACCTACCATAGTATTCTAAGAAAATTTGACGTCATTTATAGGTTAATCAATTTAATCCAGTGAGAAGATTCATCATTTCTTTAATTCTGCCCATTATGTAGTCCCTAAGCTACCATATCTAGACTCTGGCAAGACAAGTTCTTGTGTTGTTCATTCAGTATGCTTTAAGTAAATCATCTGAGGCTTAAAAATTCTGGTCAAAAACAATAACCTCAAAAATAAAGAAATCCTGCAGGTCTAACAGTGGAATATTCAGCAATTTACTGAAAAAGAATTTTTGTTTCAAATCTTGCTCGCCACAGGAGATGAAAGTAATTGGATTTGAGGCTTCCTTGCCTTTGTTATGACTGGGTGGCCCCAGTTAATGACGTCAAACCACAGGATGCACTGTTCCTTTTGATTTTCTTTTTCCGAAATGTAATCAAAACAAGTGGGTCACAAACTTTTGACTCCAGGAGGTCATTATTAGTCAAGTGAAAATGCGTAATACACAATATCACACAAAACTTACTCCGTCCTGTTCTTGAAAAGCTAATAATAGGTGAGCTGTGTCTAAATAGTTAAGGGAAAACTCCCTCTCCGCATTCCTTTCCCAGTGTTCCCTTAAAGTGGTATCTTGTTGAAACAAATCGCAATTAAATAAATTTTAATTTTTGTGATTTCAACAGCTGAGCATGACTTGAGAGAATTTTTAAAGCTATAAGGTTTTTCATGAGGAATTTTTACGTAGTAAATGATCTATATCTCACATTTCCAGAAATTTGGGAAAAGATGGCGACCGCGCTTGTGCATCATTAAAACTAATGGCGCTTAAAATACTTAAGAAAATGTATAGATAAAAAGGCATTTTTGAAATTACGTTATTTTAAAAGCGGTGGATGCCTTGTGCACACTTCGAAATGTGTTTAAAATGGAGTAGTAGAGTTCTTGACAAGGAAAAGAGGTGCAAAATCAACGCTTACCTTCTTCCCGATGCTTACAATCCAGCCGTACATTTGAGGTTCATTTTCACATATGTTGTTTTAAAATCTCCTTGGATATCATCTTGATAATCCAAAAATACGGAGAGATCCCAGTCGTGAATTGATTGTGCACGATTCGTAATGTGTTGTACGAAGCTTGCTTAAGTCGTACCACTCGTGCCGTAAAGTTTCATGAATTTAGGCTGAATCTAAGAACCCGTGCAGAAATTTTTAAGCCCTCCTTTACTACTTGGTCATCACAAAACGCTGTAAAACCCGACAAGAAAGCAATTTCCGCCGCCATCTTTCTTGTTTTCGAAATCCCCTGCTGTTTCTTGGGATAGATAGGCCCCAGGCTTTACTCGTACAAATACTATAGAACCCAAGTCCACAAGACTGACACACAAATTTTCACATTGAGAACTAATTTTTACAGTTTATACATAGCATCTTGCTTTAAATGCCAACTCTGAAGTGAACAGAAAAATATTGCGTAATTTAGTGTTATCAACCAAGTTGAAATCGTAAAATGGCCTCCGCAAAGAGTTTAAAGCCTGACGTTTCGAGTGTGAGCCCTTCGTCAGAGCGGTTGGTGAAGAGCTAACGCTCGAAATGTCAGCCTTTAAACTCTTTACGGTGGCTAATTTATGTTTTCAACTCGGTTGATAGCTCTAAATAACCCTGTTATACTCTCCCAGCAACGCAGCACCACAGTTAAGTTTCTTTAAAAAATCACTCCCTTTATTCATTCGGAAAAATATCAAGTCGAGGCACACACCCAACATTGTCAATCGCTTCAATTGTAAACGATCTGATGTGTAAAAACGACCATGGGAACAGGTTTAATTGAAGCGGACCCTTGCCTCTTCACAATCAATGAAAAGTAAAAAGTGGTGGCCGATTGCACACAGGCATAGGGGAGACTTAAGTGTCTGCCACTTGGATTCCTCACTCCCTACAAGCAGATGCAATGATCCTATGCCTCAAACATGATTCAGATTGATTTATCCAGCTGGGGTTTGATACTCAATCCCTTAGGCGGCGATACAGCAACGTCTGAGGCCGGAAGACAGGAACCCTTGCAAGCTAAGCTTGTGGAATTCCTCTAGAATTGAGACTACATATAAGTTTCCAGATAACTCAAATCGAATTAAGAACGGCAATTTGACAGTGCGAACCCAAACGAATGTTTTTTAAGAATTAACTAGTAGTCACCTCAACATTCCGATAGAGGAACTTTCTCGTTCGCCTCGAGCCAATGCGACTAAACTTCATTCTATCACCTTGGCCAGGCTATCGCTTACATCTGCACAGGGCTGAAAAGAAACCAAATTGATTCTGCGCGCAGATGAAGGATTTCAGTATCAAGGAGTCAGGAGACTGATATTGAGTTGCGTGTCTTCAAAGCATGCCCACACATACAAGGATTCTGACAACTCTCCCATCCAGTGTAAACTGTAATAAATATTGATGCGTTAACTAGATGCCTTACCTAGAACAGCCTTTTTAAGGTTAAACTAAAATTTGATTATCGACCACAAATTTTGAAAATGACTTGATTTTTTATTGAATACATTTAGTGCTTGGACTACATTTTAAACACCGAACAAAATATTTGAATGTTGACGCTTAAAAACTGATATACAAAGCTCTTAAGGGTCTAAAGTTGAGGCTTTGGCATCATCCTCAAACCACAGCAAACTTGGTCAATGTACTGAGAATTTGAAGAACACTATTTGGTACCGTAATTAGTAGTGTTGAGTAACAAAAATTTTGCAGCTTTCTCTTTCTGTAAAAAGCATCTTTGATTAAAAAAAAATTAGCCAGGAGTATTGTGATGATCATAAAACTACTTTTGGTACACTTAAAAGTTGTAGCTGACAAGGGCTTCAAGCCTATTACTACAAAGGTTCATCTGATGCAGTGAAGGCATTTACAGCTGAGCAACTTCTGCAAAAACTGGTTTCTTGACTGGGTTTTATCTAAATTATAGTGAAACCCATATTAAGCGGATAGCCTCCGGACCCTTAAGGGGCTGGTTACTTGTGTGATAATAAGAAGCTAAGTTTGCGGTTTCCGTCAAATGTATATGCTATTGGCATCTCGATCAAATCAAACTCTTTCTCTCTTTTTTCTTCTTATGTAATCTCTTCATGGCAGATGGTTACGGATAAGTAAGTTGCATATAGATACTATTGGAGGAAAAAATAGCTGAGCTTTAATCAGCGTGGTTTGTGATTCATCACGTCTTATTGACATGTCAATATCTATTATGGTGAAAGAACATGCTGTGAGCTGAACGGAACACTACTCGATTTTAAAACTTCAAGCCTTCCTCATTTTGAATTAAGAAATCGACTAAAAAACTATTGAAGAGTCCTACTATTAGATACGAGACTCGTTTTAAAATGAATATGAGAGCAAAAAATCAGGACTTCATTAGGTCTTTGCTTTATATGGGGCTTTATTGAAACAGGTTTCCTATAACTTCTGTCAACACAAAAACGCTCTAGCCCTGGGTGTTCTGGGTATATGAGCTTACTAATCATGGAGGATGAATCACTAATAGTTAATTCTTAACCAAAATCACGCGCAATTTAATACATCTTGATCGAAATTCACAACAAACAAGACTAAAACAGAAACATATCAAAGCTCTGTATATCGACCACGAGTAATAGGTGTAATTACCTAACTGCTTTGCCGTACTGTAACCTCTCCGACTCTAATTACCCTTCCTCCTCCATCCAACAAGCCGGGCCACAAATAACAGACTGGTTTTTCATGGTCCTTTCCAACTTTATCTTTGTGATCGGATCCAGCCATTATGTGATATTGACTGTTAAAGGTGGTCTTATGGTACTCGAGCCTCAAAGGTGGAAGTTGTGTCACCATTCGCCACGTTAATTTGACTAGCTTCTTCACGTAGTCAGCCAAGTCGAGTAATAACTCCTTCCAAGGGATTTTCCTTAAGAGGCGCTTTCCAGACACATGTTCGCATTTGACGACTATTTGCTTCAGAAATGAGTCCTAGAGAGAGAAGCTTCTGTTTGACTCAAGTAATTGAGTACTAATTGTAATACCATCCACATTTCAATAGCTAAATACATAAAAAAAACGTCATTTGTTTCACATTTGCCCTCGAAGCTTCGTTTCCCGGCCAAATATTCATTTTTGGAAAGTATTTCAGTCGCGGACATTATCAGCTGACATACCAGTCGCCTAAAGGGTAATCAGCAGTAATTAGTGGCGTATTCGAGGTTATTGCCATTATCACTGTTCGAATATCTTTGTTAAGTCTTCCAGGCAGATGTGAATGCATACTAGCTTCAAAAGTTCTTCTACGATGTATACTTACGTCTTTGCCTTGTAAAGAAATACTTCTACTAATAATGAGAGGAATAATGATAATAATAAAAGTAATGGTACTAATGGTAATGGTTATCATAACCATAAACTATTCGCCAATTCAAAGATGAAATCTCAATTTTCCCCAGAAGACTACTCTCACTGATACAAAATTGCCGTTACAACAAATTTGAATAATATCTGAGCGGAACGATGGAATCACTCAAGTTCACGACCTACTCCGCCTAAAGTCTGATTTGATTTACCTTAGTGAATTCGTCAACGTCAAGTTCTGATGCAGACTCTTTGATGGCCAGTAACAAGCTGTCCATGACTTGTCTGGGGCAATCTGATCCACGACTATGCAATTTGATCAAGAGATTCACCGAGGCTTCTTCTCTCTGCGGGTAAAATAGTGTTACTATTTGTGGCCATCAAGTTAGGATGAACACACGAAGGTGAATGTAAACAAGTTTAGGCACTTTGGCTCCTCAAGATCTGATTCTAGATTAAAACGAAAAGTCCTTTTTAAAGTTTGCAAAACTGTTAAAATTGTACCCTATATTTGCGTGTGAGAAAATGTCTGCCAAGCCATGGCCCATCTTTCACAGCCATCTTCGTTATTTCCTTACAGCCCTCGACCATGAGAGATCTTGTTTCCAACATGTGTTCGTAAATTGCCTGTCAATAAAGATAAAGATTTTTTAAATTTGCGTCGACATTGAACCATAATTAAATGAAGTTTTACGAGCAGGTTGACAAACAAGGAAAATAAGGCGATACACTTTAATGGAAGCAGAGAGGAAATCATCTCTATCAGGATTTTCCAAATGGTCGTTTAAACAATTTCAGCGCGAATTCAGGGAGAAAGGACCGAAGGTAGACCTTAAATACTTAACAGTGATGTATAATTTAAAGAGGAGACGAGAACAAACAAATGCTTCAAAACATTTCTACCGAAAAGGTTGAACAAAATGGATAAACACAATTATTAGTTAGGAAATGATCGACAAAAATCTGTATCTGAAGGGAAGAATACATCTCTTTACTCTTCAGCTTGTTATAACTCATTGTCAGCTAATTCTCTTCACGAAGCAGGCATCGAAGTTCTTAGAACGCGCTTGCACATTAAACTTTAAAAACGACACGAACTCTAGTTCTTCATTTTCGATCGCTTCTTACGATTACAAGATAAAAAAAAATCAATTAAAAGCTACAGGTTTCGATTTCATCGTGGTTCCATCATCTAACGAGGCACCAGACTTATTCTCGCCCTTAGCTCGCACACGGTGCTGATTTAGAAAAATTTTGCAGGAACCAAGCTGTTGGGTTCATTCTCGTGGTGTTTTTAGATCGTGGACGCCTTTCTTTTATGTCTATTGACGAGCTCGTGCAAGTGCCCATGTGTGTAGCCAACACGCCCTTGTGATTAGTGATTTTCCAACAAAAGTCTGGTTGAAATATCTTCACAACTCAATCGCACTTACCTCGAAAATGATACAGGTTAATATTTCAGGAAAGACATCGATTTCGTTCTCGTATCGCTTCCTTAAAACCTCCAATGCATCAACGCGTTCTTCAGTTTTTAATTGCCAGAAATCTCGTTCCACAAGAGATGGCCTGTTCAAACTGAGGGTATCCTCAACATTTCTCTGGTCCCGTTTCGTTTGCATCTCGTTAAAACGTGCCACCCTTAGACAAAATATTGAATAACAATCACTATTCGAGGGCTCCCAGGGGTGAGGCACGAATAGGAAGCTTCTGTACATACGAGAATACGGGAGTCATAAAGCCGAAAAAACTTGGTTTTCCGTTTGGGGCCATTAGTCCGTCTTCACGCTGTACGCGAAGCTGCATTCCGCATGCACGACAACTAGAACTTAGATCTCAAGTAAGTTATCCCTCTAAAAAGCCAAAAACTGCACTTAAAAGTCTGCATTAACAGCGGTTTATTCCTTTTAGAAAATAATAACGGTAATAATAAAGAGACATTAAAACTGAGAAAAAGATTATCTTTAGAGTAGAAAGAACCTAGTTACGAAATTATTCATCGAATAAATTAAAGGCTAGCCAAAACTATCCACTGAACCCAATAAAAAGTTAATTGGATGGGAGTAAAGCCTGGTTTACACGCGCGATACAAATCAGTGCAAATGCAATCGAGTTCACGCGTCCAACGCAAATGCAACGAAAGTGAGTAAAGGTGGAAAGTTAACGGTGGCCAATTTACGTTATCAACTCAGTTGATAATACTTGAAGAAAGTTAGATGCGGAAGCGAAGTGGAAGTATTTTTCCAAGATGGCCGACGTTTTGAGACGTTGATAAAGCTTTTTTGTCGCAGAGTTTACCACAATGTTTTATCATTCGTTCTCGTTTAAAGAGTGTTTGGTAAATGGTTCGAGAGCAATTTTATAACTTCATCGACGTATTTGCTGTATATGTTTACATACTTTTGTAAAACACACAGTTTTTTTGAGGCCCACTTCTTTGGTTCCCATCTTTTCAAGCAAGCTCCACTTTGAATTATTTAAATTCCGGGAAACTGCAGTCGAAAAGAACAGGAAATTTCCTCGCGCTCTCCGCAATTTTTTTCTTCTGAAATGGCGGAAGACGTTGACTTCATCTTGTTTTGAACTGTCCCTAAGTGGCATGGAACCGATGTAACCTGTGCTTTTCGTTTGCATTTGCGTTTGCGTTGCCCTGCCTCGGTTCACACGTGTGGGAAGCGAGCGCAAACGCAAGCGTAAGAAAATTATTTTTTTTCCATTCCTTTCGTTGACAATAGCGTTTGCATTTATATTTGCGTCACGGTAGTTTACACGTGTCTTTCCTTACATTTGCGCTTGCGTTTGCGTTTGCATTAGCGTTTGCATCGCACGTGTGAGCCAGACTTAAGAGGCTCATACAACTATAGGGGTTTTCTTTATAATATAACATATCGAAATACTGATTTCAGTGCACGGATATATTGTTATTATTATCATAATTATTATGATTATTATCATCAACATTGTTATTATCTTTGGTAACATTGTTTTTAACATCATTATTGTCATTAATATTATTATCATTTTTGTCATTCGTTTTCACAGAACTTTCTAACCCATTAAAGTTTTATAACTTTCGTAGAAAGTAAAGACAAAGTTAAGTGTGGCTAACCTTTTAATAAGGGACTCAATTTCTCTGTCTTTTGTTTTCAGATCGTTTCTGCACTTCCTTAATTCATCCTGTAACAACGAAACCTGTCGAGCCTCTTCGTCGCTTTTCTTTTCATCTGTTGAAGGTCTGTGAAATAACATCCGCACTTAAAACGGAACAGATCCATGTAATAAATCTGATAATCTAATCTAAGGGCAGAAAATATTGCTTCTTGCAGTTTTACATAGTAGCGCTAGTTTTCCACCAAACTGAAAAAATTAGCGACAATAAAATAGAACTCCAAATCATCCATGCCTTCAGTTATGTCACGTTTTCGATCACGAGAACTAAAACTGACATCGGAAATGACTTGAGTAAGGATCACGACGTGGAGCTCAGGAATATGAAAGGTTGTACGTCAGAGATCTCAAACCAAACTCAACATCCGGTCAGAGTACCATCACAAAACCGTTACAAGCAAAACTGCGTGATTGTTTCCGTACAGTCACGTCATCTTTTCACTTTACATGTTAGTCACCTTATGCGCATAATCATGGATATATGTTATAGAAGATATTGTTATACATAGTGGTTTTCATAGCTAAATTAAAGTTTATGGTCTGTCTCACGATGTAGAATGGAATGATCGCGACGTCAGGCGACGAGGTCGAACGTTCACGTGTCACTATTTACAGCACTTGTTTTTTTGCTATTGGTGAGTTATGACGTACTGTTATTAGTGTATTTCGATCCTTATTATGATTCCTTCATATGTCTTCTTTGTTACTGGTCGTTTATTATGCTTTGTGACAGCAGGCATCCATGCTTCGAGAATTTCGATTCCGTTACCTCTATTGATGTTAATAGGATGTCTTCTGTGGATGACCCTGCACGTAACTGGTGAGAGGCATGATCAATAAACGTAACCTGAATCCAAACAGGAGCATGTCCTGTTTCATTAGCATTTATGAAATCACTGAGTTCTGAGTGCGAGCAAACCGTGTATCTTTTTCATGTTCTTCAATTCTCCCTCTTCCTCACAAGCGTGGGACAAACAAAAAATTCTGAGGCCCCATGAGGAACCGAACCTTAGACCTTCGGATTCCGCGCCGCGATGCTCTCGATGCTCTACCACTGAGCATACTGCTAGGATTAGTGATGTCAATAGTGTTATGTGATGCATCGGAGCGCGGAATCCGAAGGTCTGAGGTTCGATTCCTCATGGGGACTAAGAAGTATTTCTTTGTCCCACGCTTTTGACAAGACGGAAAAAAAACATCTCTCTCTACTTCTTTACCGAGCTCAAAACCTACAGGGTCCTACAATATCTCTTATGCTATTTACAATCACTCTTCCTGTTTCTCAGATTTATATTTTGCCACATTCTCACGGTATCTTGTATACAACGACATCCTTTACATATCGTAGATACATAGTTATAATGCATGTGATGGACTACGCTTTTCACTCGGCAACAACATCCTGAAGATGTCGAAACGTTGTATTCGCTAATCTTTTCAATGAAAATCGATTCAAGAGCTTTGTTTATATGATCTTTCAAAGCGGGTAGCTGACTATCGTGCTTTGTAAGTTTTTCTCTCCCTATTCTTTTCCCAAATTTTTTGTGATCTTTTTTCATTGCCGTATAGTTTTGAAATAATTGCTTCATTTTTTCAGTTCAGGTTTCCAATTATTTTTATCATCAGCCTACAGCACATGACGTAAACTACCAGAGATTGCCTACAAATGATGGTCTACTCATATGCAACACTCTGTAGATCTGTTTCGCTGTAAAATAACGTAGCACGGGCATAAAGATTTCTATACACGATAGACAGGAGTAAGCAATTCCTCTGTGCGCTTCTTCCATGCATTCGTGTGTAAACGTACCTACAAGTGTTAAATACTTACCTATAAATGTTCACGAATTATTTCAAATATCTTTTTTCTGTGACCGATAAGGGTAGATGTAAGAGTTGGATTGCTTAACTGAGAAACTTTTTATGGCTCATGAATATTTTCTTGTAACACTTCAATTCTTCTTTCCTGATTGAAATGATTGCAGTCGATAACTTGAAAAATTGACGTTTCAATCACCAAAGGCCTGAGTGAGCCTGAGCGTTGGTATTGGCTATAGTTTTGTATCTGATTGGTTGGTTGAAAAAGTGGTGCACGCTCTCTAAACCAATCGCATAACGAAGTAAAGCAAAACAAATTAATCCAGGATAATTTTCAATACTCAATTGAATATTATTCTTAACTTTAGAGACGAAGATTTGTGACTCGAGTTTCCTACACTAAGCTATGTATTTACGCAGAGAAACTTACCCTTGGATATTTTTGTCCTCCATGCGTCTTTGCTCAGGTGTGTGCATTACTTGCTGCTTTCCACTTCGCCTTCTTGGAAAAAATTAGAAAAATTTAAGGAATATGAAACAAAAACCGGACAACAACGAATAAGGTGTATACAGTTTAAATCAAAACTACACAAATTAAACCCCAAACTGAAAACATTTCCGTAAGGATATATTAGCTGTAGTTATTCCTATATTTTTGTCATAGGCAGACAGTTCTGGCATTGCAAAAGCACTTCATAACATTTCGTCATAATTGTTAAAAAAAATCATCCCCGAATCACCAAAGGCCTGAGTGAGCCTGAGCGTTGGTATTGGCTATAGTTTTGATTCTGATTGGTTGGTTGAAAAAGTGGTGCAAGCTCTCTAAACCAATCGCATGACGAAGTAAAGCGAAACAAAAGCAATCCAAGATAATTTTCAATGCTCAATTGAAAATTATTCTTAACTTTAGAGACGAAGATTTGTGACTCGAGTTTCCTACACTAAGCTATGTATTTACGCAGAGAAACTTACCCTTGGATATTTTTGTCCTCCATGCGTCTTTGCTCAGGTGTATGCATTACTTGCTGCTCTCCACTTCGCCTTCTTGGAAAAATTAGTAAATTTAAGGAATATGAAACAAAAACCGGACAACAACGAATAAGGTGTATACAGTTTAAATCAAAACTACACAAATTAAACCCAAAACTGAAAACATTTCCGTAAGGATATATTAGCTGTAGTTATTCCTATATTTTTGTCATAGGCAAATAGTTCTGGCATTGCAAAAGCACTTCATAACATTTCGTCATAATTGTTAAAAAAAATCATCCCCGAATCACCAAAGGCCTGAGTGAGCCTGAGCGTTGGTATTGGCTATAGTTTTGAATCTGATTGGTTGGTTGAAAAAGTGGTGCAAGCTCTCTAAACCAATCGCATGACGAAGTAAAGCGAAACAAAAGCAATCCAAGATAATTTTCAATGCTCAATTGAAAATTATTCTTAACTTTAGAGACGAAGATTTGTGACTCGAGTTTCCTACACTAAGCTATGTATTTACGCAGAGAAACTTACCCTTGGATATTTTTGTCCTCCATGCGTCTTTGCTCAGGTGTGTGCATTACTTGCTGCTCTCCACTTTGCCTTCTTGGAAAAAATTAGTAAATTTAAGGAATATGAAACAAAAAACGGACAACAACGAATAAGGTGTATACAGTTTAAATAAAAAATACACAAATTAAACCCAAAACTGAAAACATTTCTGTAAGGACATATTAGCTGTAGTTATTCCTATATTTTTGTCATAGGCAGACAGTTCTGGCATTGCAAAAGCACTTCATAACTTTTCGTCATAATTGTTAAAAAAAAATCATCCCCGCATTGCAAAAGCACTTCATAACATTTCGTCATAATTGTTAAAAAAAATCATCCCCGAATCACCAAAGGCCTGAGTGAGCCTGAGCGTTGGTATTGGCTATAGTTTTGAATCTGATTGGTTGGTTGAAAAAGTGGTGCAAGCTCTCTAAACCAATCGCATGACGAAGTAAAGCGAAACAAAAGCAATCCAAGATAATTTTCAATGCTCAATTGAAAATTATTCTTAACTTTAGAGACGAAGATTTGTGACTCGAGTTTCCTACACTAAGCTATGTATTTACGCAGAGAAACTTACCCTTGGATATTTTTGTCCTCCATGCGTCTTTGCTCAGGTGTATGCATTACTTGCTGCTCTCCACTTCGCCTTCTTGGAAAAATTAGTAAATTTAAGGAATATGAAACAAAAACCGGACAACAACGAATAAGGTGTATACAGTTTAAATCAAAACTACACAAATTAAACCCAAAACTGAAAACATTTCCGTAAGGATATATTAGCTGTAGTTATTCCTATATTTTTGTCATAGGCAAATAGTTCTGGCATTGCAAAAGCACTTCATAACTTTTCGTCATAATTGTTAAAAAAAAAATCATACCCGAACAACGCAAAAGGTCTTTTATTGTGTGTTCAAGATAATGAATTAAAGGCCCTTGCTTGAACGGACGGCTAAAAAGTGTCTTAAAAGGATTTGTTTTTAGAGTATTTGAGTAACTTTGCGTATTCCTATTCGCAGGACGCCCATGATAAGAAGCTGTTGAATGTTGCGCATTCGTTCGTTCTACTCCTGTTTGCTATGTTTGATTCTTGTGTTGTACAAGTGTTACCTTTCCACAAAGAGCTTTCCTTTGGCGCGAGAGAAGCAAATACCACGATAGTTAGCAGATGAACACTGAAGTGTGAGATTAAAGTAATCTAACGTATTCGAGCGATTTCGTTTCGGTGGTGTCACCTCGTGAACATATGTATCAGATGACCTGGTGGAGTTCCCGAGTCAATTTTTGGATGTTTCTGAGGTGAGTTTCCACAAGGACTAGTTGCAGTTTGGAAACCTTTAACTGACATTCGTTTTGGACTAGTCACTAATGCGACAGGAAAGTCGTTTCGAGGCTAATTTTTCTTTTCAGTGGATGTAGGAACAGCAGTTTTTTCGACATCTTCCAATCGATCACCCTTCTCCTTTGAATAATTCAAGGGCTTTTTCTGGTTATTGTGACTCCTCTGTTTCTTCGCCGACATCGCGTTCTTGCTATTACCTCTCGAACACCTTAACTTATTTTTCTTTCAATTGGTAAACATGTTGACATTTACTCGTAATGAGATTGGTCCTTTTTCCGAGTAGCCTATTGGGTGATTGTCGTCTTATTTGCAATTGGATAATTTCGATCCATCGAAACATCAAGCTCTTCGCCAGGTTGAAGGAAACTAAGGGGGTTATAATTTCCAATTTTGCTCAAAACTGGTTGCTAATTATTACGGTGTGGTTGTGTTTTAACGGTAAATGAACATTTTGTATCTATAACATGAGACCTCATTGAAAAAGACAGCAAAAACATGTAATTAAAAAAAATTAAGTACCAAATTTTCGACAAGTAACTTTTGTTTGCATTCATATTGGATATGGTCAAATCTGTTGTAACCAACCAGCTTCTTCCCTGTCACTCTACACTGTAATTCAATTTCTCCCCTTGCTCTTGGGAAGCAACCAGGTTAATGCAACCTGACTAGATAATTAAAAGTCTGAGTTGAATATTTTATGATAATTTATGTGTTGTTCCAAAAATATTCATGCTCCTCCAATAGGTTTTCTTGGTTTGAACCCGCCTTCCCCCCCACAAATCCAAGGTTAGCCTGGAACTTTCCTATTTGGGTTTTGAGAACCCCCTCTTCATCACAATTTACAATGATCTTCCATGGGTAAGGAGGGGGGGGAGGATGTGATGAGGGTATCTTCTGGAAACAAGCAAATAGATGTGCAACTCAAATACTGAGTTAACACAATGTTTGAATGTTTCATTCATTTTTCAATAAATATTGATTGTTATAAATGTAATAAAACACATTCAATATTTAATTTTTTATACCCCTGAAGTTTACCAATGAATGAAAAAATATACATCAAAACATTTGGCTTTGTAAAGTCAATGTTACAACAGAGTGTCAGTAATGATTTTTCAAAGGAGTATGCAAGTTGTATAAATACATACCGTATTTACCCGTGTATAAGTCGAACCCGTGTATAAGTCGACCCCCCATTTTGGAGCCCAAAAATAAGTTTTTCTTATTTCTGGGCAAGAATTTCCTTGAAAAACTAATCTTATATTTCCTAGAATTTTCTTTCAGGTACTATGGTTATATGAAAAAAATCACAGCAAGTTTGGAAGTGAAGTTTACTATTGCGTGTACGCGAGCGTTTTAGCGTGTTTTAGCGACACGTGTAAGCAGCATTTTCTTCACAATTTTTGAAATTAGCTTACAAAATCAAACATACTACTTTCTAACGAACCTTTATCGTTGTGTAAAGGCGCGTAACAACCAAAACAAAAACCCTGCCAACCAGCATTTTATTGGAACACGTGCTAAACAAAGTCCTCGCGCTCGCACGATACAAAGCCAGGTTACTAAGCAGCAAAACTTCGAAGCGAGAAATGTGGCTTTCGTCGAGCAGACTTACCACTTTATTGGCTGCAACTATCAGTTCTTTATTTAATCTTAAAGCTTTTAAACTTAGACTGCTCGAGTTGTGCAGGGAAAAGACATCGGAACTTGTACCGTGTAAAGGTGGATTGTTTGTTTACATATCAGACAATTATTATGCTAATTTGTCCTGAAAGTTTTTTTATCTCAGATTTTGACCCATGTATAAGTCGAGGGCGATTTTTTGGACCGATTTTTAGGCAGTAAAAGGTCGACTTATACACGGGTAAATACGGTAATTATAGAGTATTTTGTATCTAAACCTTTAATGCTCATTCGCAAAGCTCTGTCTTTGTTTATGCATGTATATATCTGTCCTAAATGACTAACTGATGAAAAAATGTAGGCTTGTGACATAAAAGGTTGTAGATTTTGTGTAATCTTCCACCAAATACTGTACATTGTGCCAAGGTGTACTGTTTTGTATTTGATAAAACTCTTCAACACCCTCAGTGATGTGTTGGCCATAAAAAAAATTATACTGTGGAAGGATGAAGTATGTTAGTTCACCATCAGTACAGCTTATAATTAAGGTAAAAAAATATGCACAATATGGCTCATGTTAAGTTTAGTCATTGCAGGATGTTGGTGTTTCAGGTATTCAAACTTGTTTATGTGTCCAGGTTTCAGCGTTACAGTTTTGAACAAAACCTCACTGTATTTAATACATGCCCCTGTATACAGGTATGCCATCAACATGTTCTCCTTTTGGGAATATAACAGATTAGATGCATGGTTTACAATGTTGTTGTACCAGCTATAGGTGTGATACATCAACTTGTAAAGCTGTGACAATGCAGTTATTATTGACAGCTACAGTGGTAGGTTGGTGAAATACATACTGTATCAAAACAGCCTTATCAAAGTAGACTTTGTAACCATGTAGGTAACAAAGAACAGCTGGTCTTGTGGACTGGAATGTCTATCAGATGTGCATGGTATTTGATACCCTTGGTTATCCATCTGCCATAGTGAGTACGGTTCCATTTTGCATGAATCCACAAACCAGAATTAATCAATGGCAGCAAGAGAGGTACATGTGCTGTAGATATATCATGTAGATACAAAAAAAAAACCCTGAAAATTATAGAAAAAAGATATCCACTTTCAAATGACTGAATAATATTTAAAAAATTACTCTTAACATTGCATCATGAAGGCTGTCTGCCACAAAGGGGCATAATGAAAAAAAAAAGTACTTACTTCATGGGGACCTCCATTAAATAGAGGGGGAATGTTGAAATTCCTGGGAAGAAATGTGCTCATTACACAGAAAATAACAGTCCTGAAAGGAATTTTGCAGTCTGCAGTCTGTTAATTTTGAGCTATGAAGGTGATTTAGGGCATCAATCAAGTCTGACAATGTTACATACGTTTTAGAACGGTAGATACCGAACACATGAACATTTGGAATTGGATCACTAAGAACTATAATGGTAATTTCCGCATTAAAGTTAAACCTTTGTGGAACTTCTGCACAATTCAAGTCATTCTTAATGTAAGATGGTAGATTGATTGAAATCATTCCTGTAAAGTGTAAATTCACGAAGCTGATATGTGTCATCTCTATCTGACAAGCAAAGCTTTGTTTCAACAAAAATGTTGATATCAGCTTTTTGAACGTTGTAATCACTTCGTACATCATCTATGTGAAGATGGAGAGATCTAACATTCTGAGACAAGATTGTTTTTGTTTTGGGTGAACCCACAGTCTGTAATACTGCTAATGGCACAAGGGTAGCTTCTGTTCTCAGTCTGCTCATTTCATTTTTAACTTTCTCACTAACCTTGATTTTGTTTTTATTCAAATAAAGAATGTGTAATGCAGAGCTATTTCTTACTCAGCTCAAACCAACAAAATGCATGTGCTCCCCTGCTGACACTGGACAATCTACAACTGCTTTCTCTAATGTATCACCTTGACAAAGATGAATTGTCTTGGCAACAGCAGGTCTAAGTGGAAATTATTGTCGAAGAATGTACACTTGAGCTTTTTTATTACTTTGAAATTGTCTTGTCACTTCAAAAATTGGTGTCCAGTCTTTACTAATGTTGGTTTTGTACAAATGCATATTTTCTCTCCACTGCTTTCTGCCTATGTCACAATTTGGGAATGATACCCAAATAATACTTTGTCTATTTGAGTTTTCAACTCTGTAGTCTATGTTTTGTATAACACATTCTGCACCATTAGTGAGTCAGGTCATATTTTGCTGCAGTTGCTACTGACACTACTGAATATAAACCCATTGTCTTTGTTGGATCATCTGGAATTTTGCTTTTTATTTGTTTCCTTAGGTCATCCGATATATCCCCAACTATAATGTCAACAGCCTTGACTTCACCCTTATCGTTTTTAGAAAAAGTATACAGGACATTGTTGTGAGCATGCACTGGTGCATTTAATGTGTTATGTTAAAAGGGTAATTATCTTCTTCAGGTCTTACATTCAGAAATCTTTGTTTCAGAAGGGCTATATCATCTTTAGAGTGCTTTCCCTCTCTCAAACGATTGAGCAGCTCAGCAAATTCTTTGTCATCTTTTTGTCTCATTATTTCTGTTGATTCAATGTTGAAGTATTCTGCCCAAATGTTACTTGCTAAAGCATCATATCCAATTTGAGAATTTTCAAAGATCCACTTATCAAAAACTGGTTTTAACTGGAAAAGATCACCAACAGTTATCAAGCTTACTCCACCAAATGGCTCTTTGTTTCCCATTATTTGTTGTAATCTTAAATTCAAAAAGTTGAACATGCCACTTCCTACCATAGATATTTGATCAATGAATATGACTTTTAGTCTCTTTAGTTGGGCTGTGACTAAAAGTGGGACGGGGACGTGGGACGGAGACGTGGGACTCGGGAACGTGGGACTCGGGGACACGCGGGGACTCGGGGACAAACAACACCTAACATTTGCGCTGAATTTGTATAGTATAATTTTCGGTGGTCTCATGAAAGCTATTTTATGCTGGAGAGCTTGTTAGTAGTAGCCGATGGTTTTCAGCGTCTATGGTTCGGCCGGACATTTTTGCTTGCTTATTCTGGGTACAGAATAGTTTCAACACAGGGGGTCTTGAAACATCCGTGCCTTATCCTTGTTAAAAAAGAATAAGGAAGAAAACACAGCTACTTACCAGGAAAGTCCTCCATGGCTGCTCACGATGTTTAACACCCTGCGTTGAAACTATTCTGTACCCAGAGTTCTTACGGTCAAACAGGCAAGAAAACATATCTGGCCGAACCATGGACGCTGGAAATCATCGGCTACTACCGACGAGCTCGGGTGACGCTATATCGAAGGCATTCGTCGAGGGTCGAACACACAAGTTTATAGTACAGCGATTAAATTTAAAATAGGTTATGTAAGCTTCAGCACTTGTTCCCACGAAAAGTTCAAACCTGAGATGTACAAGGTCGTCCTGAACAAATGAGCCTTGAGGTCCTGCAGCAGTTTCTTGATTTTGTTATCAATGCGCCAATAAGCCTAACAGTAACGTTTGAATTTTAGACGGTAACTTCGTCTCTTAAAAAGTAAATTAAGTGAAAGATTCTCCTTGCAGCGTTGAGTCCGTTGAGAGAAGTTCAATGTTTGTTACTTACGTAATACGAAAAATTTGTCAACACTGAAACGTCAAATGATTCGTGAAATAACGAACGGGAATTTCAGGAATTGTATACACCCTACTTTTATGGGGAATTCTGAAGTAAATGGAAGTAAATGACCTTCCCGATTTTGTTTCCGCAATATGAGAAAAGTTAGATGGATTCCTCCACTAAAATACCTAAAAAAATTAAAACAGTTTCGCGGGTTATGCAAAAATCGAATGCTACTGGTACGTTTTATTATATTTCAAACTCTGTTTTCAAAAGGAATTCTCATCTTTGTTGGTGTGTGGAGGCAATGCCGAGTTTCATTGCTTAGAGGGTAAACGGTTTGCCGAAAAATTGGATCGGTACATTATCACCATTGTGTTCAAAGACGGGAGACGCTGCAAATGCATAATTTGGAAAAGTATTTCGGTATACTAGATTACGCACTTAGAGTGTTTTCCAACTACTTTCCTTTATATGAAATACCTTTAAATATTTCAACACTTTTCCGCCCGGTGCATTGCGTAAGTGTTTACAAAATTGCCTTCGAAAGATAGAGTCTCTACGAGGCCCACACTGAATTGATAAAAGCAAAATTCAGTTAAAAATAAAAGAAACTGCCCACCATTTTTCGAAAACCTCTTGCGATTTAAGTCCTTTGAGTGTAAGGCCTTCTTTACAAAGCATGTGGAACTACTAAGAAGAAAACTCTCGAGAATATCCTCGAACTCATCTCTTTCCATCGAAATAACCCACGAAGTACCGGTTTTCAACAACAATTTTCAAGGTTTTCCTCAAGGAAGTCAATCTCCGATTTGTTTAAAGAAGATTGATTGGTCGCCGCCATTATTACGCTCTCCAGTATATTACACCTTCCTCGAGACCACCAAAAATTATACTTTACAAATTAAGGTGTTGTTTGTTTATCACGTCCCCGAGTCCCCGCGTCCCCGCGTCCCACGTCCCCGTCCCACGTCCCCGTCCCACGTCCCCGTCCCACTTTTAGTCACAGCCCTTTAGTTGTGTCCTAACGGCTGTCACTGTCCAGTGCGCCATATTCAAAACCCCTACTGGCAGGTATCTTTAAGGCAGCATGTAATTCCCTTTTATGTTGAATGCTGCTTTACCAGTAGGGGCTGATTTGACAACTTTCACATCATCTAGATTTTCCCCTGTCACACTATTCAGATATCTGATCAGTGCTTCATACAAAGCATATGTAACAGCGCTTTTACCAACTCCAGCTCCCCCACTTAAGAACAAGCTGAGAGGGTCATCTTTAGTTTTGATTGAATATGACATGATAAAGAAACTGCTGTTGTTTTTCCTTCAGTGAGCGGACAAGTGTATAATAATCATCTTCAGACATGCACTTTATAACAAGTTCATCTTCATCATTAGTTCAAGGGAAAACGCCAATATCATCAAGCAAATCATACTGCTTATGTTGCTTGTTTTTGCCAGGATCAAAGCAACCAAATAATTCACTAGGCCTATTTTCAATAGTGCAGTCCTGGTTATTGATATGTTCTGTGTTTGGAGCAACATTGTCAAAGTTGTGATATTCTGCATTATTCACATCATTCATTGCTTTATCTACTATTTCTGAATGGTATTCATACTGGCACCTGTTAGTGAGAATCTCATCCTTAATCTGTTCAAATTGTTCTTGGTAAGTTTGACAATTGTTTGTTACATCAGTGCTTTCATTTCGCCATGGTGTATATGGCATGAGTTGCTCTCTGTAATGGTTTTCCGGGTCCTTATCTTTATGGTACCTGACAGATCAGATGATTTTAGGTTTCTTTTGTCTCACTAGTTTCATACCCCCTTTAAGTAGGTATTCATTTGGTTCACATTCATGCTCAGTGACATCAGGGCCACTAGGGTCATCAACCGTGTCATCATCAAAATTAGTTTCTGGAACAAAGTCATCAAGACCGGTTACTAATAGCTCAGTACTACTGTGTGCATGTTCATCTTTAATATAGTTAATATAGTTTTAGTTACACCAGGCAACAAATTCTGCTAGGCACAACTTTTCTAACTGTTTTGGTCTCCTTTGATAGCATTTAATGAAATTGTCAGATTCCATGTCAGCTGAATTGTCAGGCAACTCCTTCAGCTTATCTAACTTTTTTTAACAAGAATGTCCTTTCATCAGGAGGTAAGGTGCTGATAAACTGAAAATCAAAGGTGGATCTTCTCATTGGCATTTGTAATACAAGATACACAGATTGGCTTTTGGCAAGTGACATACTTATCAACAAAGGTTACAATTCCTTCATTAGGACTTTTTTCATATTGTGGTGCATCCTTTACCCAAAATAAACCATGAATATGTGGGCTTCCTCTTTGCTGAAATTCAATTCTGTAGAAATAATCAGCTATTTCTCTTATAGGCGTTACACTGCTCTTTAAGACATCACGGATGAATAATTGAACCATGTGTTCAAAATTTCTTGCACAAGTTACAGGGTCTTTTTGTACAAGATTTGACTTTTGTTCCCATGTCATTTGTTTGATCTCATTATCAGTGTACTCTTTTTTTATCTACAATTCTACCTAAAGTTTTAAGAAGATGAGTCCACCTTGTTTAGCAGCTGAGAAAGAGCAAAAGCATGTTGGGCTACCTAGTTGACGAATCATGGCAAACAAGTCTTTTTTGCACTTTTCAAAATAAGGTGGAAAGCCTCTATTTTTTTTAAAACTCTGAAACCTTCATCAAGATGCACGAGCTTATTGAGATAATCCTCTGACTTTAAGTCACCAGTGGTATACTTTTTCCCCTTCGTTTTACATTTTCTGAAAGAAATGCATGCACTATCTTGAATTTGCTTAATTTGCATTTTTTTTTAGTTTAAAGAAAATGTCTGGCACATACATTGCAGCTCTTCTATCCTGACAGCTAAGCTCCCACTTGCAAACTGTACCATATGATACAGGGACCTTTCTTTGATTGTTTTCAGGCCTTCGTTTTCCACAGAAAATTGTGGGGAATGATAGATATTCAGAATCTTTATCTATAAATATTCCTAATGGTTTGTTTCCTTCTCCTGGTGCAAAAGAAATAACTCTGTTTTGCATTTTCTCCTACATCTGGCTCCTGCAATAGTGTATCTGTAGAACCTGAAGGGTGTTCATCAACTTCACACCAGCCATCACTATCATCTTCTATACTCCTTGCATTATCAACATCAGCAGTCAAAATACTGTCTTGCAAATCCTGTGTTTTGTCCTTTGTAACAGTTTCATCAGTTTCAGCATGTAAATTAGTAAATTAGCACTTACCACAATGTTATATGGTTTTGAACAAACTCAGTCCAATCTTTATGGCCACTACATTGTGAACTTATGTCATCTAGCCACGAATTTTGCACCTTTATGCCTTCATATTTGAATAAATCACTTGTGCCTACAAGGTATTTGACTGCATCCAACACTTTCTCTGGTCTTACATTCTGAAACTGATAATGGTGCTTATAGCTGAGACGTCTTTTAATTTTAATTGGAATTGTCTGTGATTCATTCATGAGCCTTGACAGGCAGTGCACAGTTGAATTTACATCACTTGGTACATTAACAATGCTGCCATGAATAGTCAACTGGCCCCCTCTTGGTAGTTCATGGATTTGCATAAATGGGATGCAAGATGATACTAGTCGTTCTTCTAATGATGTCAAATTTAACAATTCAGGCTTCTTAGGAAAACTCATTTTATTGGCTTTAGAGCTACGGGGTAACCTCCCTTTCTTTAGATTTAAGTCACAAGTTGTGCAAATCCATTCAGTATTATCTACTGCTTTTCAACCCAGTGACACAAGACTTTAAAAGATCCTGAGAACATACTTTGTACTTGTTAACATCACATTTCACTACTGAGGACTTGTACCACAACTGGTCACAACAGGTACAGATATATTCTGGGCCACATTCAATGTTATTGTGAAACAAATTGATCATAGAAATTACATTGTGCTCATTTTTCTAAGCTTGCAAGTCATAACTATCAGTTGTTGGCAGTGATACAGTTTGTGTATTTTGATATTACATTTTAGCACATTGTGCAATTCGATGAACACTCATAACTGTTTTCTTAACTATAACATAGTTTCTCTTTATTTG